AAGCTGTAGCATATAAGTTGGAATGGATTTAAGGTGGACATTTGATTGAGACGCTGGCAAATCGAAAGACAACTTCAGCCTCGTTCAAAGATGAACATCAGCCATGCCTGTTGACAGCTTGGCTCCTTGGGAAGGGTTTAAAAAGTTCCGACATCCCTTCACAGCCTGGAATGGTACAGTTTTGGAATTGTCCCATTTCACTGCCCTCTTTTGCAAATGCAGGATTTGTACTTGAAGAAGGAGACAACAGTGTTTTAGGTTCTCTGTATGTCAGTTCCACATACCAAACTTCCCTTGTTCAACTATGCCAGTGTAAACACATCTTTCCATTTTATGATACCTTTAATAAAAATGGTTAAATGAGAGAAATTTACATAATAAATTTGGATTTACTTACACATGATAGGAACCAAGGGTCATGATATCTACAACACAAATATAACCATTTTATCTAAAACCACCAGTGAACCCACACGTCTTCTGAGTTTTTATAGATAATGTTGATAACGACAAAATAGTGTTAAATCTGAAAAAATTTTCTTTTACTGCCAGTGTTTGTCTAACAAGACTGCAAGGCTATGTGTATTTTATCCATCTGTTAGCAACGGGTGTGGCTCAAACACCCGAACTCAATAATTAGGAGACGTGTCCCAATACTTTTGTCGATATAGTGAATCTGTTCTAACCAAGGTACAAAATACAGAGTGTCCTGGAGGGTCCCTGAAAAAAAAACGTATTATGATGTTATGCTGTCACATGAGGACTATTAACATGACAGTGTGACTGATGTGTTTAGTCCAAAGTTCTAAAAATGTTTTGTTTGTTGTTTTTGTTTGCATTAATTCTAATTAGATGTGCATTCATTCTAACTAGATGCACTGATAATGGCTTTTGTACAAAGATACTGCACACAAATCCGCAGAGAATAAAAGACAGAGCATTTCTTACTTAGTTTACAGTTGAGCTATTGGAAACTTTGAAGATCCCTCATCTGACTCACTGCTGTTCTTTAGGTAAATTTCTATGTGCTGTAAATATGTCTGCATTAACACTATGCAAAGAAATACACAGCGGACAGCCATTTGTGAGGTGTCATTAACATGAGCTGTTGAGGACCATGTGACACACTTGACAACAGTTTGGCAAAAGCAGAAGTGTGAGTGGATGTGGCCTACTATACAAGTGCATTCACTCAGTGGCCCAAAGCAGTTATGCCTAGTTGTTTGAGAAACTGGTCTTTCTGCCCATGCCAGATATCTACTACCGTGAAATTCTTGCTTGTGGAGCTCAGTAATGCAGCTTGGATCCTAGAGATGTTCCCATAAATAATCTGCGCGTATGCTTTCAGTGTGCATTATGCTTAACAAAACCGATAGTCCACTAGACGTTTTTGTTCACTGTCTTTGACCTTAACTTTTCACTCGGAGTCTGATGTGAGTCACTCTTTATCTTACTGGTAAACTTGTACTATAATTAGCATGTTATCCCTTGTCAATCAGGTGTGTTCTCCTTTCTAAGTTTTGGTTCCTCCCAAGGCTTCTTCCTCTTGCTCTCAGGAAGGGTCACCCTTTGTAGGACAGATGTCTTGAAGTTTTACATCAAACTCTGATCAACATAAGGCTGCATTCATCAGGGCACTAGTTTGGAATTAGATCTCTCCAGTAGAACAATGATGCAAAGCATACATCCAAATTCATTTACCACAGATTCACCACAACTTTTGCAGTGGCTACTGTAGTTGCTTGACTTAAACTCCACTAAACATCTGTACAGAGAGTTGAAGAGGACAGACCTGTAATGAAGATCAATAATTGATCTGGGCACTCGGTGGGTCTAAAAGGCCACCTAAACCACACATCAGCACTTTTAAAGCTGCAGCACTTTTGTTTCTGTTCCTGATCTAAAATGCCCTGATGCAGCTTCCTCTCGACCCACTCATTCTATTAAGTATATTCATGGCTCTATTTAATGCTATTGAGAACAACTAACACACGCAAAATATTGTTTTCTTTTTGCATGTGTCTTTATTTGCACAGTTATCCTTTGTAAATCACCTGCAACATGCCCACTAACTGCTCGCACAATCTATTGCACTGCTCACACACATTAGCGCTTGTTTGGGATCTTAGTAAATCAGGGCCTCAGTGTAAAAGCAGCTTCAGTCAGAATGCACTTTACTTTTCTCCAATAATCTGTTTTCAGCACAGCATGTAAAGTGGTAACAGCACATTAGAAGGAGCCTCTTAAACTATAGAAAATAAATATTCTCATATTTTTGGTCAGAAACTGTTCCATGTTTCTTGGTATGACGTGATAATTCTTTGAACAGGTTTAATAAACTGCACTTGCTGCTTTAAGCAGCTATATAAGCATTTTGATGGCTTTCAGATTCAGATTCAGCTTTAGGATTTTCAGAGATGTTTATTATTGCCCATTAACCGGCTGTTTTTGTTGCAATTTTCAGCACTTTACCTGCATGTTTTATGTTAAAGAATGTTAAATATTGCATTTAAAAGAAATTTGTATATTTATTAAAAGGCTTTGTTTAACTCTGTCCATATGGTCTTTAACCTCTTGTCCATATGGTCACTAGAAGTGAAGCTTCACATCACAACAATAGAAGAACCCTTTTTGGAGCTATTTAGAACTATTTTCAAAAAGGTTCTACACAACACTCCATCAATCTGATGAAGTTCTATATAAAACTATTGTCTTTACTAAAGAACCCTTGAAGAACCATTTTAGAGTGTAGAAGGTTCTATAGAACAACACTCCATCAATCTGATGAAGTTCTATATAAAACTATTGTCTTTACTAAAGAACTCTTGAAGAACCATCTTATTTTAGAGTGTAGAATGCTATTCAGATAAATTTCTCCACATCAAAACTTTCCACACTGGATACAACATGTTATCTTTTTTTGTTTGTTTGTTTTACTTGATGTTCATGCTGCAACAAAAACAAACAAAGGACCACAATGCCTTCAAGTGCAAAAACAGTACAGGCAAGAATAGCAACAGGGCAAGCAGTGCAGTTGGGTAGACTATTTTCCATTTTGTAAAAGCAAAAGGAGCCCAGAGGGTTTCACTGCCTCATTCAGCAGCTTTCACATTTAGTTTGGCGGTCTGTGACTCAGTTGAACCCATGTGAGCTGATTTTGGAGACCCTAACTCCGTCCAGCAATTATTCTTTTAAAGTCTTAAAAATCTTGTATTTGCTGGGACACAATCGGTCTGTTTCCCTGGTTGTTGCCATGTCAACACCAGAGACAGCAGTGATTGGTCAGTGATTTCACGTCACCTGCAAAAGTTGTCCAAAATCAATCAGAGGGAAAATAAAACAGTGTCACATTTTCACTACCCTAATCACATTTAGTGTGCAAGAAATTATACATGTGTTCAAATTAATTTATTGATGTCTGAATAAACCAGTGTGTTAAGGCATTTATGCTGCATAGACTGAATACGATGAAGGAAAAAAAAAACCCTGATTAGACAATTTCCATTGTTTCAAATAATTTAAGCTTTAATTTAATTTAACTTTGTTTCCAACTTTTACCAACTTATCAATGAAATGAGCAGTATTATTTTAATACAAGCATGACTTTATGTAATAATAAAAGTACAGACAGGTAAATCATATTTACTGGGGATCCCTCTACAATTTGGTGTTTTAAAATCTTGAATCACATGTATCAATGCTATGACATAAGTCTGGTAAAACTGCTGGCAAAAGCAGAAACACAAACAGAAGATGCTCCATTATAACACATATCAACACACTGACCCCTCTGCCAGTAGCAAAACTCCATTACTGTGAAATTAACAGTCTTGAATATAGAAAACCAGACTGTTCACTAATAAGACAGGTCCCAGAGATGCTCTCAAAATGCTGTGTTGGCCAGGATTACTGACACAAAGTGACTTTGACATGAATTATTCAAAGAATAAATTATTAAAAAAAACACATTCCAATTAATGTCAGGTTTTAGGACAAAAACTAACTGACATGCAGCATTCCCATCCATATGTTCCCCTTTAACCTGTTAAGAACAGCTTAGTCATTAGGAACTGAGGGCACTTTGCACCAGTTTCAGGTCCTTCACCCTTTTAAAAGCAGCTATGAATACGCATTAGGATCTCAACAGATGAACATGTCCCTGTTGTCAGAAGAAAATCTTGTATCTCCAAAATGATAAATTTACAGGAAAAGGAACAAAACTACTATACTTTTTTTGTGGTTTAAGTCAGTGGAACCAGACATCTTTCCCGGTCATTTTGGGAATTTTACACACAATGTAAAGAGCAGTAGGCATTTTCAAATTATATCAAAAACTGAAAAGTGACAAAAATGGAGATACAAGGTTTTCTTCTAACAGCAGCGATGTGCTGAAAGAATGTGTAACATCAGAATGACGCTGTTTATATTCTCAGGAACAGATGTACGTAAGTGCGAAGACCAACCAAGTTATCATTTCATGTTTATGTGAGGAAAACATCATTTGTTAACAATACAATCTCTTAATCACTGGATTGTGATTTTCTCTTGCTGATGGCTTCATTACTTCACTGTACATTTTAGTCCCTGTTCTATGCAGGAAACATGCAGTTTATGTAGTGAGCTTCAGTCTCAGTGTTAAATTCAGACATATTGTGAGTGAATGTTCCAGATGCATCAAGGCACAATTACTGCTGCGCCTCCACTTTGTGCATCTGGCCTTCAGATCTGAACTGTAGTGTTAATATAAAAAATAATTTAACATTAATCTTGCAGAACCATCACAGACTCAAATAAGAAAAGGCTTTTCTGCTTCATTCTCTTTAACCTCAGTTTCATTCTTTAAATAGCAAAGCTGTTTCCATCAGCTGTTAAACTATTTCTGGTCTGAAATAGCACTCGCCACGTGATATTTCCTCAAAACTATCAGACCAATCAAAACAGCTCACAGCTCTAAAACGTCCATTCAGGTCACACATGAGGCCTCTTTTACTACTGAACAGACCAGCAGATTTCACTGCCTCTCTGTTGAAACAGGAACAATGTCTGGACTGCTTTTGACGTTTTGCCTCTGTGTAACTGGTAAGTGATGTTTTGAATGGTTAATATATTTACACCACAAACAACATGTTACCAACCTGCTACATGTACAGTCATATGCACATGTTTGAACACCTGAATTTCCATTGATATCTTAAAGTAAAACAAAACAAAAAAAAAAACATATCCTCTACACAGAACAAATATATTGTTTATTTAACATAATGGAATAAAATAAGACATAAACTATTAAATGTGCCATAATTTTTGCACAGGCCACATTTTATATTTTATTTCTTACCAATATGTTACATTCAGCAAATAAATAGTAACTGTAAAATATGCAGAACTGTGTAGAGGATGTGTTTATTTTCACTTAGAAAATCAACAAAACACGTCACTTGACCAAAGGTGCCCGGACTTGTGCATAAAACTGTAAATAACTGGTTTATTTTAGCAATTTTTTAGTCTTTGAAAGTTTTTGTTTTGTTTTGTCTCTCCAGTGAAAACGTCTGACATCACTGATCTGCAAGTACAAACAGTGAGGCGGGGAGGTGAAGTGACAGTAAAATGTGACCAAGAAGCAGCCAAAGATGATTTAGTTTGGTATCAACAGAGTTTAGGAAAACTGCCTCAGTATATTGTGAGAAAAGTTATGACTAAAGCAAACTCACCACAAGAATCTAAACCAGAAGCAAAGCACAGATTTAGTCGAGCATTTAACAACAGCCGCTTCACTGTGGATGAAGAGTTTAATCTCAGCATTAATGGAGTCAAAGAAGAAGATACAGGAATATATTTCTGTGTAAAGGCAAAATCAACTGCTTTAGAGTTCATATCTGGAACCTTTTTGCTGTTTGCAGGTAACTGTGTGCACACATTCGCTGTAAATGAAATTGTTACTGTTGTTTTGTACTGTTCACTGATATTAGCATTACTTTTCTTTATCTTCTACATTTACTAATCTATTTTAAAGATGAGAAGACTGACCATCATCCTCCACCTGAATCTGGAGGAATAGGAATCATCTACATTCATCCACACAGCAGAGATGAGTGTGAGAAAAGCTCTGAGACTGATTCTCCTACACAGAGCTGTGTCTACAAACTCCCCAAGAGAAACCTCAGCCTCTCTGATGTTGGAACTCACTACTGTGCTGTGGCTGCATGTGAACATGAAGGTAAATCTAATGAAAAAGACAAATGAAGCTTCTGTAAGTTAATTTCACTGAAACTTACATTTCAAATAGTTAAAAGACTCTTTAATCTCTTATCTGACAAGTCATGATCTGCAATTATCTCACTTTATTTGTTTACAGAAAACAACACCTGGATTATTGTTGCCTTGACAACATCCAATATGACATCTCTTATGGTGATGATGGTTCTGGGTAGACTGTTATATAAGAAACAACAAAAAGGTCAGCTTTGATGTTTATGTTGTCTTTAAGCATCTTCATTTTAATATGTGTGCTATTTGATGCTATTTTTTTTCTTGTTCAAAAGTCTTCCACAGCTGAGTAAATTATTTAAAACCATTTTCTGAGAAATATGTGTGATTGTAAAAAAAAACTCACATAAAATAAAAATAAATACACAAAATAAAACTATACAAAATAAGCAAACATGAATAAATGTAATACAAATAGAAATAAAATGAACAAGAATAGATAATAAGAAATAAAAAGAATTTCTAAAAGAATTTCAAACAAAAAAAATAAAACGTTTGGTTTTGGATTTTTTCCCCCCTCTTTTCCCAGCTATTACATAGGTTTAGTAAATTCCACCACCAGCACTCCTGATTTAATTTAACCAGATGTTGGATCATCACTACGAATAGTACTGGTTTCCTCAAAGAGAGGTTCTGAAATGATTAAATGAAAACACTGACAAACATGAAATCACTACTTATTGTGTTAATGTTTTGTATTTATATTAGCAGTGTTTTTTGAGACAATAAGTGCTTACTGTGCGGTTAAAAAGCTTTCTAAATAGGTTCTTAAGGTGTCTGACTTTTTAACAGTACTCTATAGACAAGACAATAAATAATTACAATAATTAATTAACTAATTAATTAATTAATTGATTAAATTATTATTTGCTTAAAGGTTCTATCAGTGGTCACCCAGGAAGCCCCAAAAATGAGGTAAAATTTGTATATTCACATATTTTCAATTCCTCATATATAAATACTGTACAGTATGTTAACACAATTGTCTATTTTATTCTACTTATATTCTGAGCTCTGCTGGTTTGTAATGACTCTTGTTCTGTGTCAGGTTGAGGATACAGATGTTTTGAACTATGCGACTGTGAATTTTGCACAGAAACCTCCTTCCAGAGCACCCAGAGTCAAGGAGCGTCAAGATATTTATACACAGGTTAAAGTACGATAGTCAATGTAACTGAGAATATTTTGTGTTTTATTATGTTTGTCATCTCAATTCACTGTCATCACCTTAATTTACAGAAAAAAATCATTTCACTGTATCTTTCAAATAGAAGTCAATAATGTTTATCTAGCAAATCACACAAGATAGACATTGTGTATTTCTGTAAGTCAAGTTAATCAAACCATCTAATCATGTAAGCAGATACAATACAGTGCAGCTTTTTGTTGTTTGTTGTTGCTTTGTTAACTGTATATTTTTTCTGATTTACTTATTGTACACATTATTTAAAAAAAGAAAAAAATGACTATAAAATTTCATTGATAAATAAAGGCTGTTCTTAAATGAGAATATGTTCACATGGACAGATAAAGGGGGTTAGTATGGATTCAGTATAAAAACACAATCGTACTGATCATCACAAAGAGAAAATAAGGTTAATACAGTAGAAAGAGCCGGTACTGTTTGAAAACTGAGGCCAGCTGATTAAACAAGTGAAATTAAGTGTGCTTCTGTTTTGCAGCCACATTGTCTTAGGCACACCAGCCCCTTGTGGATAAGACAGAAACTGACCAATGATGAATGAGGTAGAGAGTGACTGATACTGTACATGATTACAAAAGGGCTACAATGTGATATTGTGCACAGTGATATTGTATACAGTTTACAGAATACATCAGGTAGGTGGAGCTTATAAAGTGAGTCATTGAGTGGATGTTTTTAATACTGTGGGTAATGATTGTACAGACACGTTTTCTACTTCCAAAATGAGCTTAAAATGCATGTGATGTATTTAGTAGAACTACAAAAGCAGCTGTATTACGTTAAGGTTGATAGTAGAGCCGGGCAATGTGAAATATTGTATTGTATTGTGTAACCATGAATGCCAGTGCTAATTTTTGAATCACTGCAGCACTGAGTGTGTAATAAAAAGCAGATTATTTTTAGTTTGGGACAATGTCAGTCAGGTACTTTGCAGTGTCAGTATTGGCAATTTGTTCTTAGAGCCCTTGAATTTCAGAGCTCTACCAATGATCACATACAGAAGCCGAGCTTTGAGGCAGGACAAACAGTACATTTGTAAATGTCTGCAGTCCAGCATCCAGGCAGGACTCAAAATGACATTGCAAAAGCCTGATGTCCAGTAAATGTTGCTCCAGACTTTTTTTTTCACTCCAGACAGTTTTTTCAGAACTGTCCCAAAAAATACTGGTAGCCATCCCAAAATGAAAACTGATCATCCAGAATATTAAACTGCTTTAGTAACATTGCATTTTTCTTCAGAATCAGTGTGCATTGCAATGGGCATCATACATATCTAGTAAAGAGCAATTACAAACTATTGTAAACATATGATATATCATAAAAGTATGGCCGTCTTTAGAAGATTAACAGAGCAAGCTCATCCCTGTACTCTGGAACATAATGTGGATCTGAAAGGGTTACATTGGGCATTGAGACATCATTGGCTCACACAACAAGCACTCAACTGTAGTCTGCTAGTCTATGAATATTTAACCAGATTCCAGAGAAACTGTAAAACTTTTTCCTAAAAAAAAAACCGCATAAGTCAATGCATAATTTTCAATGTAAATAGGTGAAACATCATTAGGCTAGTTATAGTGAACTATGCTGCCTGTCTCTGCATAAAATGATACACACAAATGGTTAAGACACCTCTTTGGTTGTCCTAAGGTTAGGACAAAATGTAGGAAATTCTGTTCAGTTAGGATGTTATTGTAATACTGTTTTCTTATCTGGAGTTAGGATAAGAATGTGAATTTAAGAACTGTTGTTCTGTAATAGTTTCTGTCCAAAATTCAGTCCAAACTGAAGTTTTTATGGTGACTAAACAGATATAATTTTAGACTGAAGAAGCTGTGCAGGTACATTTTTTGTTCATCATAGTACAAACAATGTAAATGTGCCCTCAAAGGTACAACAGTGGCTTTAGGGTCCAATTGTGTACAGTGAAGATGTTTTTGCCAATGGAAAAGTACACATTTATACCTTTTCATGACCTCATGTTTTAAATAGAACAAAGTAAAAATTTGTTAAAGTAAAAATCCTGTAAACAAGGGTTGTGTGGAGACAATACAACTCAGAAAAAATTCCAATGGATTATGATACAATTATGTTCCCTGAATAAAGGTACTGAGATGTAACCTTGAGGGTACCAACCCAGTGACAAGAGGGGTCCCACGCAACTGACATTTTTGTATTTTTATTTGGGAGAGTGAAATATACCTCCCCCTAAAAAGGCCTCTGATAAAGAATGAGATAAGATAACAATCTGTATATGAGGTGCCTCAGCTTTTTGTTTGAATTTTACCATTCTACCTTAAATGGTGTAGCAGTTATGTTCAGGTGCCAGAATGGAACTGCTGCATGATTTAAGGTGGAACAGGAAAGTGCAAATAAGAAGCCAAACTCAAAGCCAAGTCAGCTTTCTGACGTCTCTGCACCGCTGAACAAGAAGCTGAGACACCAGAATGTAACTGCTACACCATTTAAGGTGGGATGGGAAAATTTGAACAGGAAGCTGGAAAATAGAAATCTGACTTCAGCAGAGTTGAAAGGCATAAAAAAAGGATGAGGAAGTTGCTCTGTTTCTGCTTGACAGAACTGAGTTACTTTTGCTGTTTCACAGAACCAATAGGTCAGTATTGCTTTGTCCATTTGCTAATGTTGGTGATAGCGCTTGGCTAGCTTTGCAGCAGCAATTGTGGCGAGAGTTTGCTAACCCACAACCTAGCTAACATTACAGTACTGCTGTGTCGCTCTAATGTTATATCATGGTATTTGTCCCTGCAAAGTGTGCAATGGGTTTATGACCACAAAGATCTAACAAAACAAATGTGGCAGCCCAGAGTCGTTAACCCTGACAACGCACGTCCATGAATTTGAGGGATGGAGCTTCTGAAGGAGCACTGAAGGGATGGGTGTACTAGTTTTGCTGTTGAGCTCAAATTTAACAGTTGTTCTCCAGAATCGTATACTGTGACTTTAAGAAGCCAAAATCCCAAAAATAAGTCACAGATCTGTCTGGTCTATAACTGTCGTCTTTAGCAGTATCCTTATATTTCACAAGGGACAAGTCTTTCTTTGTGCAGCAATAAGTTGTTCTCTAATATCATATAAACCTACATCAAACAATTCAGAGCTTAGAAAAAAGACCAGAATTCTGTTCTGGTTTAGCTGAAGCCTTTTACTTCATCTGGTATAACATCAGCAATCTCAGAACACAAGTGTCATTCAAATCTATCACAGCACAGAGTCTGCGAGACTGAGCAGGCGTAACAACACATGCAGGAAAAGTAGAAGGAAACTCTTGACTCAGTACGTCACCTTAGGCCAACTGTAAGAACACATCAGATGTTAAAGGAATAGTTCAGTGAAAAATCATGTTTGATATCTGACATCTGCTTCTCTAGTTTACAGCAGGAGATGCTGTTACACAGCTAACAGACACTGGAGTTGGACTGTCCCAAACTCATCTCTGTAAATATGTGCACTTTAAAGTACTCCTCTATCTCTAAGCAGATATCACGTTTCTGTTTTTTAGCATAGCTGAGGCTTCATAACTACAAGACAGTTAGCCAGAAGCTGCATCTTGAATAATGATAAAGCTATAAAATGAGTTGTTGCGCTCTATTTTGTATAAACAGAATAAAGAAATCTAGGTGTAGACTAGTACGTTACCACTAAATCCCTAATGATGCAAAAAACATAAAAATGGTGGCTTTTGGCAACGAACCACAAACTAGCAACAGTGCCATTCAGTAAAAGTATCAGTACAACACTGAAGTTCTTCTTCATCAGCTTCCAGAGATGGGGGAATAGCTAAATGGTGCGCTACTTTTTGTAGTTAACTACATTTTTTGTAGCTAATAGCTGAAGTGCCTACAAATTTTTGTGTAGCTATAATGATAATTTTCGCTACAATTTCGCTACAGACTTCAGGTCACAAAATGTCTGCCATAGAACGCGGTCAATAACTGGGCTGGTGGCGACTGGGCAATCCTGACTGAGCCGCAGACAGTTTGAGCAAATGGTCATGCGATAATCACCCCTTACTAGTAGGCTTAGCTCAGGGGTCTCAACCGAAATGTTAAGAGGAGCCATTTTGTCCTTTCAACAAAAATGAAACCACCTTGGGAGGCATGACATTTTATGTCCGTTTTACTATCTTGGCTGTAAGTATGTCTCAGTATGTGCTGATGTATGAGTACAGGATAAAAATTAAATAAAACTCAGACTTAGCTTGCTCTGCTTTGACCTTTAGCTCAGCTATAGCTGCTTTTCTTGCATCTCAGCAAACTTTTCCGCGAGTTTCTTGTGAAATGTCTCTCAATGTTCGACTTTTTACGAGGCTGAAGTCACCTCTCATTGTCCACCTTAAATGGTGCCTGAAGCGAATTCGAACAAGAAGATGGTGAATGAGAAGTGACTTCAGTTTCGCAAGTTGTTGCAGATTAAACGTGTCAGGAAACCAGTGCTTATAAATGCAAATAAAGTCCGTTCATCTCCAAATTATCGATGTTCATCTTAAATCTCTCTCTTTGCCTTTTCGTTGTCTGCAGTGTTGTGTGTCCAGCAGTCTGCGCGTCAGTCTTCAGCGTTAAAGGTTGGTGAATTAGCGGTTATGCGTTAACTCCAGCGATTAAGACCATTTATTGTGAAGACTGTGTTAGAACTGTGTGTTACAATGATTTTATAGTAAAGGAGATTATTTTATTTTCCCTAAAAATCTAGTTCTGCTGTGGAGCCGCAACAGCTCTGCAGCAGTGGAGAGATTATTCAGGCATGATTCCCTAAACAGAACCAGGGTCAATGATGATGATTTTGAGGCTAAAGTGTTGCTGAAGTTTAATAAAGGACTCTGAATGTCATGCCTGTACAGATCTTGCTGAAATGTTTAAATTGGAGGAGTTATTTTTCAACAGTTAACCGTGATTTGCACAAAGTTGTTGGTTTGTATTTGGTTATTTTTGCTGATTTTTGTTAGGAAAAACCTGGAATGATTGACTTTGCCTTTGGTTGTGTAAAATTGATTGTTGGTTACACTTAAACCTACTTTTTGGTGATCGTTTTGTATATTTGCAGTTTTTCAATTGTATGTTTCTTTCTGGTACATGATTAAATGCAGTGTCTTGTTCATATTGTCAGTTGGGCTTGTTTGGCGTGTCAGGTGGAGATTCACAAACATTCTGACAGTCGGACTTTGAAAGTAGCCAAAGTGCACTACTGCACTTCTTTTCAAAAAGCAGACAAATTGTAGCTAGCTACAACTTTTGGGAAAGTAGCTACAAAGTAGCTAACTACTTATTTTTCAGTAGCTATCCCAACCCTGCCAGCTTATTTAAATTTCACCATTCCACCTTAAATGGTGCAGCAGTTTCATCATTGTGCATGTACAGGTGCCAGTAACTGCTGCAGTATTAAGGTGGGACGTGAAATTTAGCTGACAAATAAGAATCCAGCTTCCACCTCAAAAACAATGATCATTTCTAACCTGATGATTACAAGAAAGGTTGCAAATGGCACATACTATTCTTTGTTAACTTTATTTCCATTTTCTGCTCACTTAGCCACTGTCATGCTAACATGCTTGACAAACATTGCCTTACACAGTTTGACTGTAGAAATAACATGCTTTTTAAATGGAGTTCAAAATCAAGCCCTGGCACCAATCGCTCCCACTCCCCACAACAGAGACACTCAATCTTGGTTGGCATCACCTGGTACTTTCAGCAAGTAAACTCAATTCCTGTCATACGAGCAGTCACAGATATGTCCAGCAAGACACAGATGGGTCCAGCAACCAGTTGAGGCGTTTCCTCATGTGTGTACTGAAGTTTGAACACATGCAGGTGAAAATGTGGTTGTACACTAGCTTAGCTTCTCTGCCAGGTTACCTTACACACCATCTGTGTGTTTAGTAATTCACGTAGCTCCGCCTTTCAGTAGTATCCCTTCTCCTGTTTTTGGCCAGCTTGCACAGAATACCATATACTGTCCTGAGGTAAAAGTGGTTCTGGATACTCACAATGGCTGCCCCACCGTTTACCTTTGCTAGAAAGTTTACTTTTTGTCTTTATAGACTAAAGTAAGTCATACCATGTTATAAACCACATCAAAGAGTCTGTGTGAAACAAATGAAGATATGGACGCACTTTGAGCAGGTGGAGAGACTTTTTGGGCGTGTATTTACAGAGATGAGTTTGGTGACAATCCAATACCATTGTCTGTTAGCAATGTTAGCTTAGCATCTCTCACTGTAAACTAGAAAGGCAAATGTCAGATACCAAACATGTCTTGCCTGATCAGCCGCATCTAAGGTTTCGATTCGATTTTTCACCAAACTATTCCTTTAAACTCCCCTCGGGAACATGAAGTACCTCAACACCTGCCAAGTCATTACCCAGAGTAAACAAGGCCCCTTCCACAGTGAACGAACACCTACCACTGCTTAGCCAGAAGCTTTGCCAGAGAAAGTCTTATTGGAGATAATCTGAAAGCAAAGGAATGCTACTATAGCCTCATGGACTATTACATCAGACCCACAGTAAGTTTCATCAGACAGTGGGAAAAGTTACAAAAAAAGTAACTCAGTTACTCAACAAGTTTTTCAACAAACAGCATGTTCACCGCTATTTGAGTCATTTCCCTTATTAATACTTTTACTTGTACTCAAGGAAATTATCTCTACAGTAACAGTACTCATAGTTATGTAGGTATTTTCAGGACACTTTCCTGGTTATAAGCAATACAGAGGCATTGTTGATCATTTCAGTGCCCTGTTCATAGATTAAATTTTAGGGGAAGCTGTGCTTCCTGTGTTGGCTTAAAGCAACCGCCACTGCTTAGATCCCAAAGATGCTCTCAACATGCAGCGCTGTCAAGAATTATTGAATTAACAAGAATTATTAGAAAAAACTAATTTTTAGATAAATAAAATTTTTGAAAGAAAAAGAAAAAGGAATTACAATAACCACGATTATCAGTTATTAGTTTGCCTGGATATTTTGAGGAACAAAATCTAATTAACATGCAGAACTCCCATTAATATTTGCCCATTTAACTTTATAAAGCACAGTTGAATCTTTAGGAACTGATGTACTAAACTCAAAAGTCTGAGTCTCAAAAAAAGTATATGGGCTGAAATAATGTTTAATACCAGAATAACACTGTTTAAACTCTCAGGAAGTGATGTACGTATGTGAGAATGCAGTCTGTGTAATCATTTCACAAACTATTGTCTAAGCTGGAGCAAAATTACATCCCTGTAGAATGTTTATGTGGGGAAAATGATTTATTATCACTGCTCTCTCTTCATCACTGAACTTTCATTTTCTCTTGTTGGCGGCTCCTTTATTTCACTGAGCATTTTAATCTCTGAGCCTCACAAGTGAGCAGTTACTGGGTGAGGAAATGTGCAGTTTATGTACTGCAGTATTAGTAAACTGAATATTAAATTCAGGCATATTGTGGGTGAATGTTTTAGTCACATTAAGGCACATTTCATACTGCACCTGCACCTGTTTGTACATCTGACCCTCAGATCTGAACTGTAATGTTTAATGTATAAATCTATATTACATTCTAATCAGATACAGAATCATCACAGATTCAAATAAGAAAAGGCTTTTCTGCTTCATTCTCTTTAACCTCAGTTTCATTCTTTAAATAGCAAAGCTGTTTCCTTCAGCTGTTAAACTATTTCTGGTCTGAAATAGCACTCGTTCTTATTGTATTTTTGTGCTGTTCACTGATATTAACATTATTTCTCTTTACCTTCTACATTTACTGATCTATTTTAAAGATGAGAAGACTGACCATCAACCTCCACCTGAATCTGCCATCAAGAATGAAGAACCTGTTAAACTCCAGTGTTCAGTACAAGCAGTTACTCTGAGCTGTTCAGGAGAACACAGTGTGTACTGGATCAGACATGGATTAGGAGAATCTCATCCAGGAATCATTTACACTCATGGAAACAGGAGTGATGAGTGTGAGAAAAGCTCTGAGACTGATTCTCCTACACAGAGCTGTGTCTACAAATTCCTCAAGAGAAACCTCAGCCTCTCTGATGCTGGAACTCACTACTGTGCTGTGGCTGCATGTGGACATGAAGCTAGACCTAATGAAAAAGGTAAATAAAGCTTCTGCTTTTGGAAAAACAAAATGTAACTTCATATTCATTGATAGAATCTAATACATAGATTCGAATCCTAGAAGGCATGATGCATAACATTGCATTTATGTATGTATGTATGTATGTATGTATGTATTTATTTATTTTCCATGCAGGTGACGTCTCCACTCTGTGGCTCTTCGTTGTCAAAGTTGTAGTCCTTGCTGGTCTGTTTGTTACACAAACAGTGCTGCACATTTTTATTATATTTAGCCAAAAGTAAAGACGTTTTAATTGGAGGCACTAAACACTGATTTTAACAGATAAATATATTTATTGTACCTCCTAATAATGTTACAATGTATCATTGTGATTTCCATTACACTTCTCAGAAAAAAAGGTATTAAACTGTCAGTGGGGCAGTTCCCCTCTTGTCACTGGGGTGGGACCCTCAAGCGTACATCTCAGTACCTTTAGTCAGGGAACATAACTGTATCAAAATCCACTGAAATTATATTTGTTAGTAGTATTGGCTCCACAAACCCCGTCTCACCTCCAATCCTCTTTATTATATGTTCTTTTCACCTGGATAAACTTTAAACCACTGTTGTACCTTTAAGGGTACATTTATATTGTTTGTACTTTGATGAACGAAAGATGTACCTGTACAGTACATTTATTTCTAACAGTGTATGAGTGACTGTACAAAGTTCTGTTTGCTTTTTTATAAGCATGTTGAGCTTCAGTCAGTAGCTTCATTTGTCCTCTCCTGTTTTTAACAGCCAATAAGGCAACGACTTAGCTTTTCAACCATTTAGAACTATTTTAAATAGTGTTCATTGTTCTCTTTCTCTAACCTTTACATAGTGTAAATCTATATGGCATACTTTCTGTGCTCCTTCTCTGCTTTCTCTCAGTTGTTGGATAACTATGGGGAGGAGCAAATGGCAGATTCACCCACAGGTTGTTCTGATTCATATCTTTTCTTAGTCACTTTAACATCATAATTTACATTATTTCTTGTGTTTTGCTGCAAAATTGTATTATTTAGGCTCACTGTTTCAGTGACTAAGCAGATTAAAGAAGTTTGTGTTGGTGCACTGGTGTGTACATCGGTTCCACACAAATGTAATGTTACAACAAGTCAAATTATTTACGTACCTACACAGAGTAATTATGTTGATGTAACATATATCATTCATGTGGAGCCACTGTACACATTTCACTCAGGCAACCAAGAGCTGCTTTTTTTTAGTGTGGCTTGAAACAATAGCGCCATTTCCATTAATGTCTCATAGATACTGCAGAATATTAATTTTAGCTGTGTGAATCATGATTCTTTTCTTGTAGAGTGGACATCATCATGTCTGAAGGCATGTATGTTTCTTCTTTCTGTTCTTTTTCTGTATTAACAGGAAGATGTTATCAGTCACTACTGCAGAAATCTGATGAAGTGGACGAACAGCAGAAAACACTGCAACATTGAGACGCTGGCTTGTGGTCAAAGTGTTAAACAGAGAAGACTAATTGCCACAAGGACTATTAACATGTCAGTGTGAATGATGTATTTAGTCCAAAGTTCAAGGATGTTTTGCTTGTTGTTGAAGACCATAGTTATTTTTGATAATCTGGCGTGTGCATTAATTCTAATTAGACGAGGTCTCACTTTACCAACTGTATTTGCTTTGATAACAGCTTTTTTACAGAGATACTGCACAGAAATCTGCAGAGGATAAAAGACAGAGCTTTTCTATATTACTCAATAAAGTTCTTACTTAGTTTAAAATTGATCTATGTGGCAGAAGCACAACTGGAAGATGGCCTACTATACAAGTGCACTCACTCAGTAACCCAAAGCAGTTGCACATAGTTGTTTGAGAAACTGGTCTTTCTGCCAATGCCAAATATCTATTACCGTGAAATTCTTGCTTGTGGAGCTCAGTAATGCAGCTTTGATCATAGAGATGAGGTAAAGTGTTGCCCAGAAGTATTGACACACTTTGAAAAGCGGAGGAAGTAAGGCTGTGAAAAAGTGTTTATCAGATTGATCTTACAGTGAAAGTAAGGAGGGAGGTCATGTCTACCTCCACTAAGAGGGCAATAATTAAGATGTCAGGAAGTTCAGTTTAAAAGAACTAGAGGAATGATGGACCTCCTTAACCACTTTGGGGCCACTTACATGTGCCATTCACCTGTCAAACATCACTTCCCCTTGAACTCATGTCATAATGTGCAATTATTTTCATATGTCAACCCTCCTTACCTGCTTCTGGAAGGTGTAATTCCACCTTAAAATCATATTGAATCTTCTATGTTCATATATATATAACCTGTGCTTATGCTACCAATATGCATGATGCTTAACACAACCGACAGTCCACTAGACATTTTTGTTGACTGTCTTTGGCCTTAACTTTTTTCTCAGAGTCTCTCATTTGTCTGATCCAAGTCACGCTTTATCTTACTGGTAAACTTGTACTATTATTAGCATAACTGTTGTCCCATGTCAGTCAGATGGGTTCTCCTTTCTAAGTTTTGGTTCCTCTCAAAGGCTTCTTCCTCTTGCTCTTAGGAAGGGTCACCTTTTGTAAGACTTATGTCTTGGATTTCTACATCCAACTCTGATCAACATAAGGCTGCATGTGTCAGGGCAGTAGGTTGGAGTTAGATTTCTCCAGTACAACAAAGATGCAAAGCATACATCCAAATTCATTTACCACAGATTCACCACAACTTTTGCTGTGGCTATTTTAACTGCTTGACCTAAACTCCACAAAAAAAACTGTAGGGGGAGCTGAAGAGGGCAGAACTGTAATGAAGATCAATAATTGATCTGGACACACGTAAATACGACAGGTTCTACAAGGCCACCCTAATAACACATCAGCACTTTCGTTTTCATTTCTGATTTAAAATGCCCCTGATCTTGTGTAAAAAAAATAAATCCACTCATCCAGCTTCCTCATGACCCACTTATTCTATTAAGTATATTCGTGACTCTATATAATGCTATCAAGAATATTTAGCACATGCAAAAGTCTAATTAAAATATTGTTTTCTTTTGGCATGTCTTTATTTGCACAGTTATCCTTTTAAATCACATGCAACATCCCAACTAACTGCTTGCGCAATCTATTGTGCTGCTCACACACATTAGTGCTTGTTGTTTGGGATCTTAGTAAATCAGGGCGTCAGTGTGAAAGCAGCTTCAGTCAGAATTCACATCACCTTTCTCCAATAACCTGTTTTCAGCACAGCATGTGGTAAAGCCACAGAGGAGCATCTTAAACTATGGAAAATAAATATTCTCATATATTGGTCAGAAACGGTCTGTGTTTCTCGCTATGATGTGGTAGTTAATAAACAGTACTGGCAGTGTTGATTTCTTCTCAATCTATGAATCCTGTCGCACACCCCGCAGTTTTTTATAGCCCAATTATCATCGTGCAACGCCATGTTCAGGAGCCTGAATGAACTACCACCTTAAACATCCTTTAAAAAAATGAGCTGACTGTCATGAGTTATTTTGAACACACATTCAAAAAAAATCTCATTCTGAAACCTAAATACATTTTGTCACAAAGGGCATTATTGTCCATTGTCAAAGCATTGCAAGTTCATGTTTTACAGCGGAAACAGTCAAGCGCCAGTGCTGTTCTCAAGCAGAACCCGGTAAATCCATTTAGCGAATCAGCATGCAGCATTCGGGTCAGGTAATGCAATACTGCTGCAAACTGTTTTAGGCAAAGTCTCAAATGACTCCCTTCTCCCTACAAAGTACAGTATGTAGGTCTTAAAATAAAGGCTACTGCATATAAACAGAGCACAGTCTAACAAAGAACCACTTTGGATGCAGTCATGTGTGCACAGATCCGTACTAAACATGAAGTGCAGTATCGGGGTGTAAAAGCCAAAATTTCATAACTTACATAGTGCACAATATAGAGAGCAGTGAGCCATTTGAGATTCAGCTTTAGGATTTTAGGATTCTGATCTTATCAATGTTAAATATTAATAAATATAAACCTTTTTTGGCCTGTTTTTACTGCAATTTTCAGCACTTCACAAACTTGTTTTGTATTAAAGAATGTTAAGTATTGCATTTAAAAGTAATTTGTACCCATTAAAAGGTTTTGTTTAACTCTGAAACATGAAATGACCATTGGAGTCACTTGATTTTGATATCAATAAAGTTTAATTTTGAAAGTTACTTGTATTTTTTTTAGTTATTTTTACTTAATCAAAACATGAATATTACCTAGAATTTACAATAATAAAAAAAACATGATATATGAAAATTATTTAAAATTGAGATATTTGTTTTTGCAAATGAACTCTTTACTTTGTCCATATGGTCACTAGAAGTGAAGCCTCACAACACAACAATAGAAAAACGCTTTTTGGTGCTATGTAGAACTATTTTCGAAAAGGTTCTATAGAACAACACTCCATCAATCTGAAGAACCATTTCACCCTGCAAACAACCATTTAAGCATGCAAATGGTTCTTTAAGTGTTATGGTTCTGTATAGTCTTTACTAAACCCTTGAAGAACCATCTTATTTAACATTGTAAAATGCTATTCAGATAAATTTCTCCACATCAAAACTTTCCACACTGGATACAATGTTTTTTTTTGTTTGTTTGTTTGTTTGTTTTTCTTGCCTTGATGTTTGTGCTGCAACAAAAACAAACAGAGGAGCAAAATGTCGTCAAGCGCAAAAACATTACAGGTAGTAATAATAAAAGGGCAAGCAGTGAAGTTGGCTACTTTCCATTTTGGGTTTCACTGCCTCATTCAGCAGCTTTCACATTTAGTTTGGACGTCTGTGACTCATTTGAACCCAATGAGCTGATTTTGGAGACTCTAACTCCGTCCAGCAGAAGACAAAATAATTCTTTTAAAGTTTGTAAAAATCTGGTATTTGCTAGGACACAGTCAGCCTGTTTCCTTGGTTGTTGCCATGCCAACACCAGAGACAGCAGTGATTGGTCAGTGATTTCATGTTGCCTACAAAAATTGCTAAAAATCAATTAGAGGGAGAATAAAATAGTGTCGCATTTTCACTGTCCTGAAAATCACATTTAGTGTGCAAGAAATTATACATGTGTTTAAAATAATTTATTGATGTCTGAATGAACCAATGTGTTAATGCCTTTACGCTGCATAGACTGGATACAATGAAGGAAAAAATCCTGATTGGACAATTTCCATTGTTTCAAAAAATGTAACAAACTTTTTAACCAAAACTTATAACTGCAATGAGTATTATTGTTTAAATACAAGCATGACTTTATGTAACAATAAAAACTGCAGACAGATAAATCATATTTAGTGGGGATCCCTCTGCAATTTGGTGTTTTAAAATCTTGAATCACGCGCCCCTGATGAATTCTAAAGGTCTCTGCATGGTTTGCTGTAGAGGTTCACTAAATATGACAATGTATCAATGCTATGACATAAGTCTGGTAAAACTGCTGGCAAAAGCAGAAGCACAAACAGAAGATGCTCCATTATAACACATCTCAACACACAACAGAAAATCCCTTAGTTCACTTAGTGACCCTCTGCAGTTAGCAGTGCCTACTAACTGGGTGACAGACTGACCCATCTGCCAGTGGCAAAACTCCATTGTCAAAACATAGTCCTGAGTGTAAAGAATCAGACTGTTCACTAATAAGACAGCTTAGATCCCAGAGAAGCTCTCAAGATGCTGTGTTGGCCAGGATTACTGACACAAAGTGACTTTGAAATAAATTATTCAAGGAAAAACACACACATTACAATTAATGTCAGGTTTTAGTGTCTGTAAACATTATAAAGAACAAAACCTAACTGACATGCAGTATTCCCATCCATATGTCCCCATTTAACCTTTTGAAGAACAGCTTAGTCATTAAGAACTGAGGGCACTTTGCACCAGTTTCAGGTCCTCTACCTTTTTAAAAACAGCTGTAAATAAGCATTAGGATCTAAACAATTGAACACGTGCTGAAAGAATGTTTAATCTCAGAATAACTGTTTATATTGTCAGGAACAGATGTATTTATGTGAGAAGACCAACCAAGTTATGATTTCAATAATATTTGTGAGGAAAACTTTTTAAAAATTTGTTAACAATACAATCTCTTAATCATTGGATTGTGATTTTCTCTTGCTGGTGGCTTCATTACTTCACTGTGCATTTTAGTCCCTGTTCTATGCAGGAAACATGCAGTTTATGTAATGAGCTTCAGTCTCAGTGAAGTGAGTGTTAAATTCAAACATATTGTGAGTGAATGTTGCAGTTGCATCAAGGCACAATTACTGCGGCTCCACTTGGCCCTCAGATCTGAACTGTAGTGTTAATATAAAAAATAATATAACATTAATCTTGCAGAATCATCACAGACTCAAATAAGAAAAGGCTTTTCTGCTTCTTCCTCTTTGACCCCAGTTTCAATCTTCTTATTTGGTATGAACAATATTATTTCCTGAAAACTATCAGACCAATCAAAATGACTCACAGCTCTAAAACATCCATTCAGGTCACACATGAGGCCTCTTTTACTACTGAACAGACAAGAGATCAGCAGATTTCACTGCTTCTCTGTCTAAACAGGAACAATGTCTGGACTGCTTTTGATGTTTTTCCTTGTTGTAACTGGTAAGTGATGTTTTGAATGGTTAATATGTTTATATAACTGCTACATGTACAGCTGTGTGAAAAAGTTTGAACACCTCCAGTCAAATTATATTTTCATTGATATTTTAAATGAAAAACACCTCTACATGGAACAAACATATTGCTTATGTGTTTGGTTTACATGCCATAATTTTATTTCTTGCCAATATGTTACATTCCACAAATAAACAGTAACTGTGTATTAAAAATATGCAGAAGTGTGTTCTCTGTAGATGTTGTGTTCACTTATTTTTACTTGGAAGATCAACAAAACATGTCATTTGACCAAAGGTGCTCAAACACGTGCATAAAACTGTAAATAACTGCTTTATTTTAGCAATTTTTAGTCTTTGAAAGTTTTTGTTTTGTTTTGTTTTGTTTTTTCAGTGAAAACGTCTGACATCACTGATCTGCAAGTACAAACAGTGAGACGGGGAGATCAAGTGACAGTAAAATGTGAACAAAAAGCAGCCAAAGACGATTTAGTTTGGTATCAACAGAGTTTAGGAAAACTGCCTCAGTACGTTGTGAGAAAAGCTGAGATTAAAGCAAACTCACCACAAGAATCTAAACCAGAAGTAAAGCACAGATTTAGTCGAGCATTTAATAACAGCCGCTTCACTGTGGATGAAGAGACGTTTGATCTCAGCATTAATGGAGTTAAAGAAGAAGATATAGGAATATATTTCTGTGGAAAAGCAAAATCAGCTGCTTTAGAGTTTATATCTGGAACCTTTTTGCTGTTTGCAGGTAACTGTGTTCACACATTCGCTGTAATTGTTGTTGTAGTTTTGTACTGTTTATTGATATTAGCATTATTTCTCTTTACCGTCTACATTTACTGATCTATTTTAAAGATGATAAGACTGACCATCATCCTCCACCTGAATCTGCTAACAAGAATGAAGAACCTGTTAAACTCCTGTGTTCAGTACAAGCAGTTACTCTGAACTGTTCAGGAGAACACAGTTTGTACTGGATCAGACATGGATCAGGAGAATCTCATCCAGGAATCATCTACATTCATCCACACACCAGAGATGAGTGTGAGAAAAGCTCTGAGACTGATTCTCCTACACAGAGCTGTGTCTACAAACTCCCCAAGAGAAACCTCAGCCTCTCTGATGCTGGAACTCACTACTGTGCTGTGGCTGCATGTGAACATGAAGGTGAATCTAGAGGAAAAGGTAAATAAAGCTTCTGTAAGTTAATTTCACTGAAACTTACATTTGATCTGCAATTAACTCACTTTATTTGCTTTCAGAAAACAACACCTGGATTATTGTTGCTTTGACAACATCCAATATGGCATCTCTTATTGTGATGATTCTTCTCGGTGGACTGTTATGTAAGAAACAACAAAAAGGTCAGCTTTGATGTTTATGTTGTCTTTAAGTGTTTTCATTTTAATAAGTGTAGTATTTGATGTTAAATTGTGTCCTGTGTAAAAGCCTAATGCACATAAGTAAATAGTTTAAAATCATTCTCTGTGAAAAATGTGTGATTGTAAAAACAATATATAGTAAACATAAATATACATAATAAACAAACATGAATAAATGTAATACAAATAAATAAAGAAATAAAATAGAAATAAAAAAAATTTGGATTTTTCCCCCAATTTCTCCCAGCTATTACATAGATTTAGTAAATTCCACCACCAGCTCTTCTGATTTAATTTAACCAGGTGTTGGATGATGACTACAAATAGTACTGGTTTCCTCGAGGAAAGGTTTTGAAATGATTAAATGAAAACACTGTCAAATATAAAATCACTACTTATTGTGTTAAAGTTTTGTAGTTTTATCCTAATAGTGTTTTTTGAGCCAATCAGTACTTACTGTGCAATTTCATAGCTTTCTAAATAGATTTTTAGGTGTCTTTGATTTTTTAACAGTAATGTATATGTAAGAAAATAAATAATTATAATAATTGAATAAATAAATAAATAATGAAATCTATAAAATTACTTTTTTTCTAAAAGGTTCTGTCAGTGGTCGCCCAGGAAGCCCCAAAAATGAGGTAAAATGTGAATGTTACATTCACATATCTTCAATTCTTCATATATTAAAACTCTTCATATATAAAAACTCCAGTATTAGAATGTACAGCATGTAACACTATTGTCTATTTTATGCTACTTCTATTCTGAGCTCTGCTGGTTTGTAATGACTCTTGTTCTGTGTCAGGTTGAGGATACAGATGCCTTGAACTATGTGACTTTGAAATTTGCACAGAAACCTCCGTCCAGAGCCTCCAGAGTCAAGGAGAGTCAAGATATTTATTCACAGGTTAAAGTACGACAGTAAATGTAACTGAGAACATTTTTTGTTTTATTATGTTTGTCATCTCATTTCATTGTCATCACCTTAATTTACAGAAAAAAATCATTTCACTATATCTTTCAAACAGAAGTCAATAATGTTTATCTAGCAAATCACACAACAAGAAAGGCTTGGCGTATTTGTGTAAGTCAAGTTAATCAAACCATCTAATCATATAAGCAGATACAATACAGTGCAGCTTTTGGTTGTTTGTTGTTGGGGTTTTTGATTGTAGATTTTTTCTTATTTACTTCTTGTACACATTATTTAAAAAAAAAGAAAAAAAGGACAATAAAATTGCATTTATAAATAAAGGCTGTTCTTAAATGAGAATATGCTCACATGGGCAGATAAAGGGGGTTAGTATGAATTTAGTACAAATACATAATCATACTGATCATCACAAACAGAAACTAAGGTCACTTCTTTAAGAAATACAGTAGAAAGAGTCAGTACTGTTTGAAAACTGAGACCAGCTGATTGAACAAGTGAAATCAAGTGTGCTTCTGTTTTGCAGCCACATTGTCTTAGGCACACGGTAGAGTGACTGATATTGTACATGATTACAAAAGGGCTACAGTGTGATATTCTACAGGTGGTGACCTCCCCTGCGGATTAAACGTTGTATATATGCCTTTCTGCCTGGTCAATAAAGAGCCGTTTTTGTTTCATCCGACATAATCAGTAACTTAAGGCTAATATGGCTAATATTAGCCTACATAGATACTTTCTCATTGACAGGCTAAAGGAAATTAGCATTACACTAGAAAAAATACCTCTTATGAAAAGAAATAACAACAGTTTCTGGATCAAACAGTGTTATATGTAAGGCAGGTGTGGACGGCTGGCATGTTAATGATTTCATGACTGTTTTACAGACATAAGTGTTTTTGCATGCAAGTTAATCATCATTGAAGCTCCCAAATCTGTTTAAACCTCATTCCATTGCTATTTTTATCACGAGGACACGGCACAAGAATGAGAGAGTCACATGGAATTACGTTTCACAATAAAAGTCCTTGTTTGACCAATTTATGGTATTGTAATTCAGCAATTAATCCGGTTTTACTGTAGTTGTCCTGTTATGTGTGTTTTTACACTTTAACCCACTCATGTCCTTGTAGTTCCCTGTAAATTAAGTATTCCAAGAAACAGTGTTTCAATAAAACCTGTTCTGATTAGTCTGCAGTGATACAATTTTGTATCACACCTTGGGTTAACATCAAACTAAAGCCAACTGAAATGTAGAACTTTTGATCATAGTTAAATATAGATTTTATATTACTTTGTTAAAAATCATTAGTCTTACGTGAGAAAAGATTTGAATATAACACACTCATATTTTAACCATATGTTTTAATTGATTTGGAAAAATTATTCAGATTTGTGCTCCGGCTCTGAGAGCACCTGGACCAAAGGAAATGGAAAATTACAGCTCTGGTCATTAATAGGACAATTTAAATAAATGCTCTGATTCACCTGCATCATTTACCACAGTAAATAACCAAATATGCCTAAATCTAATAAGCTTTTATTTTACTAACTTACTGTTACACTTCGTCTTACTATTGCAGTTGCCGTAGATCATACTGTGGTGTTAGAGCACATCTAGTTCTGTTTGGTTAAAAATAATAATAGTGAGTGTTTTATTTGGTTTATAAAGGAATGTGTACATGTTAATTTTGAGTTGTTCTGCTGCATACATTCACAGGGCTTATTCTACTGTGGACTTTTATTTTGAAAGGTGGAGCTAGGTTCTGTGTGTGTGGTTGTAGCAAGCTTCAGGGAGCCTAGAGTAAACAAAGTGAGCCTTAATTTAGGAATCTTATCTGATCTCAAATTAGGGAAACTTGACTTACTTGATCAAACAATGT